TGATGGTAAAGCGGACGTGACGAATATCGCACCGTTCCGGCAGTGAGACATGGAGATCACTATTTATGCGTTATCGAGACCGGCTAAGGGTTGGCCAAAACCCTGGTCAAATGGAATGGACCAACTCAAAGATCAAATCTCGCAGTTTACACAATGGTTGCAATTCAGAGCTGGAGGAGGTACTTCAGGACCCCCCCATAAGCCGCAGAAGGCTCGCAACATGGACCTGGGTGAGCTCCTCAAATTGTCCGGTAGCTCAGTGGGCCACCTATTGAGGAGCAGCCGAACTCAAAGCCGCTACCTCGATCTGTGGGCAACCGCCTTAAAAGCGCGTGACTTCACGCGGTGGCGCCCCTTCCCAGGAGAACCGCAAAAAAGAGCCAGCGCGTCCAGGAGGCGCTCAAGACTTGGCAGCCTAAGATCAAGATGCCCCTCAACTTCGTGGTTGAACATGGAAATGCCCCTTCTGCGAGATCAAAACCAAGCCAAATCCCTACAAGATAAGGCTGAACTTCCGCTCGAGGGTCAACAGCCATCTTCAGGAAAACCGTCGCAGGACCTCGCAAAAGCCATGCGGAAGATGAAGCGACTTGGGGGTTCGGATCACAAAAGGAGCGTTGGCATCCGCAAAATCTTCCTTCCCATCAAGCCCGTCAAGATCCCTGAAGGTGAAAACCTGGCGTGGTGATGCAGAGTCTGTGACAAGGGGTCCCGCAGTGTGACAATAAGCGCCACCACTCGATGTCCAAGAAGTTTCACTTACGTTCGCGTGGTAAGAGCTTCCCGGGTGACATCAAGTGGACTGAGGCAACCCGGATGTTCAAGACTTTGGGTGTTGGTATGGCGAAAAAAGAATGCCGGTAAGAATCTCTACAAGGAGGAGCACAACCCTAAGGCCAACATCCATGACCTTCGGGACTTTGGATTCCAGGTCCCGTCCTGGCTGTCTTTGCTATCTGTTCAGGGCAGGTCCTGGGATTTTCCATTCAGTTCAGGGCAGGTGCTGACTGGCAGCAATCTCCGCAATATCCTTTCTGATGGCCTCTCTCGGCTACAATCAAGGCGGGCTCTCGTGCGGGACTCTGGCGCTTAATGAACCACATTGGCGATGTGGGGACAGGTGACAGTCTTCGTCCTAACATTTTTGTGTTTGCGCAAGAACGTCAGCCACAGGAAGGTGAACATTGGAAGGCCGCTTGCAGCATGATGTACAAAAAAAGGTTAGCCGGCTTCCTCCTGCAGTCGGGGACCAAACTCAGTAGATGGCGTCAGCCCTCGCCTGACAACGGCGGGGCTGCCGACAAAACCTTGAGGGCGAAGAGGGTGGGCGGTAGCTCCGAGGATGGTTTTCCGTGGGTGACTGTCCAGAATGTTGGGATCCTCTATATGTCTGTCTGTGTCCTCCTAGAAGATCCTCCTACGAGGCTCCTTCCTCAACACAGTTTGGTTCTTGGGGAAGAATTGGAACGTCCTTGAAGATGAAAAGGGTACCAAATCTTGTGCCCAATCCATGGGAGGACGTATGATCCCTCACAAAACAAAGTGATTGGTACCAGACACGAAATGACAGGGTCATCGATTACTTCCTTGCCTCTTCCGAGATACACGCCGATGACACGGGGACATTGCCAGACAAACTGTGTGATCGCAAAATTTGCCTCTCCGAAGCCTCATGCTGATTATGACACTGCCCATGTGGAAGAAAGCTTTCTTGAGTCACAACCGCCCAATGGCGGCCGATGCTCAATGACTTTTGGGAGCACGGTCAAAACAATGGCTGGCTCGATGCTAAGCGTCATCATGAATGAAAATCCCGGCAAGACGACGAATTAACAGAAGGTGGCCAGCATTGGGTGGACTGTCAATGGGAATGGTGTGTGGCGCTAATTTCACAACTCATCCAGAACATCCCGACAGACGCTGACATGGAAGAGGTCAGACACTTCGATGCCATGGTTCGGAAACGGCCCTGGAACCACCAAGTGTGAAAGATGCCGCAACCCAAAGCCAACGAGCCCATGTGGGTCGGGAAGCTCAAGAACAGGACAGGCCGCGTCCTTGAGCTCCTCACCGAGGCCCGATTGGGCAAATGTGGCCCGGAGCTACATGTTCTTTGGCTCAAACTTCGACCTGGCGATGCCTTTACTTTGGATAACGTGGTGCTGGAGCGCTTCAAGACTGAAGCAAAGTCCATGGCGCAGACGCTCCAAGATTACACGAACGCAACAGCTTTACTCACCGCCCTTTGCGATGGAAGGACGTCGTAAGATCCTTTACCCCTTATAGAGCCAACTGGATGAACAGTTCTGTGCCCAGCGAGGTGGAGGTAAAGGGGCCTTTCCAACCGGCCTCCACACCTAATTTCCTTCAGTGTGCCCTGCGCAATGTAGAGGATTACTGGAAAAAGTAAGTTCTGGAATTAGGTTCGTAGCGTGCAGGAGGAAAAAGGACCACAATGGACCACATGTCTAATCGTTTGGTCACTCCTTCGTCGGTAAACTGCCGATAAATGTGACAACAGCCCCCCGACGATCTCTCACATTGTCAAGAATGCGTGGCAACTACTCCATGGGATCGACGGCCGGTCGGTGCATGAAATTCGTTACCTCCCTGTCGATGCCCCCTCGGTTGCGTTGCGTGCGTCTTAGCGCATTTCAATGTGTGCCTCGTCCCTAAGCCAAGCAAGCTCGATGAGCATGACTGCGTCTCGCCAGAGGGCTTGCGACCCATCACCGTGCTGTGTACTTGGTGTAGGGCCTTCTCCTCCGCGTGGATTCGCTGAGAGGCAATGGCCACATGGAGAGCAACACACATCCCTGAGTGGGTCGCAGGTGGCCCCTCACGTTTTTGGTTGCACTTGCAGAGTCCGAACTTCCTGAGGGCAGCTTCCTTTGCGCAGAATCCACTTCAGCTACATGCGGCCATCAGAGCATGGAATGAGGACCTGAAACTTTTGGAGTGCCCGGGAAAGTCACAACTCGCTCATCGTGATGACCCAGCCTACAGCATGGGCTCGAGGTCCTGGGGGCCTACATAGGCCCATAAGCAATGTGCCACCCGCCGAGCAAATACGAGCCAGAGACAGGTATGCTAAGGCCCTTCACGCCCTGGGTCGCATTGCGTATCTGCCCAGGGGTGTTTGGGGAAGACTCGTTGACACCAACGTGTCTGCCCTCAATAGGGTCCTATGGCAATGTCGTTGCTGCGCGCCTCTGTGAAGAAGTCTTTCAGTACGGGCAAATTGCGCTACACAATCGCCCAACTGAGATCCATCATCGCAGGTGCCGAAATCTGGAGGGCGTTCAACCTGTGGCGCCGGGCCCATGTGTGGGCGACACGTTTGGAATATGGTTCGAATTCTTTTGGTCTGTCCATGACGCTTTGGTCACACTTGGATGGGCTGTTACCCCTTTGGGTTGGGATCCTGGTGAAGGCATCACTACGCTGCCCCAACACGAGAGCTGCAAGCTAGTACGCAAAAAAGCTCAGATGATCAGGAACACAGCATTTTGCCTGTGCACTAGCGCTATCCAAAGTTCCAGAGTCAGAGCCTTAGGCAATAACAGCAAAGAGGTGAAGTGTGCCCATTGTGGCAACGTGGATCATTGGGAATTGGGAAAAGTCAATTGCGTGCGCAACAGCGAGTGCGCCCGCTCATCTGCAGGGAAAGACTGCCGAGATCCACGTGACGTTCTCAGCAAGAGGTTTGCACGGGCTCCCTTCTTGGATGCCTTACTTGTCAAACTTCTTTAAGGCCCAGATCACATTGAGAGCTTCCAGGTGCCCATCGACGTGTCGATGTTCATCCTTACTAGCGACGACCACCTGCCCAAACTCATTTCGCCCGCGTCCGCAAAAATCCGCAAAGTGTCCACAAGTGTTCGCAAGTGCTTGCGGGCGTTTGCAGGCTCGCCATCCTCCTTAGTGTTGTCGCTTTTGGATCGTCACTCCTACGTCGCGTGTCAAAATGCCATCATCTCCTGATTGCCCTCACACCATGGGTCCCTCGGGCTAGCCATCCTGGTAACTGTCTTGCGTGTGAAAAAGTGACAGGGATTGGACCCCTTGGGGTCGCCATATGTCGCCATCTTCGTAACTGTTGCCACTTTTGGAGCCTCGCTTGTTCCCCGCTCGTGAAATTGCCAAAAATCGCAATGCCTTCATCGATGCGTCCTGTGATCAGGATGAAACAGTCAGACTCGCCATCCTCGTTCCTCTTGGACATTCGCAAAGGACGCAGGGACGACGCTACTCGCGCCATTGTGGAATGGAATGGAGTGGGGAAAAGTGTAGAGTGGAAAGTGAGGTGGAAAATGGAGTGGAGAGTGCAGGGCAGAGCGGAGTGGTGAGTGACGCCGAGAGTGAATGAATAACAGTGGAGTGGAAACTGGAATGGACATGGGAGTGTCAGTCGAGCTCAGAGTAGAGTGGAGAGTCGACGGGAAAGTGCAGCAAAAAGCAGAACAAAGAACCGGGAAAATGGGCAGAAGAAGGGAGTGGCAAGTGACAGAAAGGGAACGTGGAGTGCAAAGTGAAGCGGACAATGGAATCGAGCTGGCCATGCAGGGCCCCTGAACGAGGCTTGTGCTTCTTGCTGGCATGTACATGTACTCTTTTTTGGCGCTCTTTTGAACGCTTGCCATAGGCGGTAGGCTTGCCTGGGGCAAATTCCTACGCAGCATGCAAAGTTTAGCTACACATTGGCCGTATGCAGGCAAAGGACTAGGGCTTACTCCTACTGCCGCTTGCTGGCTCAGCCTCCGAGCTGCTTTCGTATTGGCCCTTCACTAGGCATGTACCTTCCCTCCTCCTGTGCCACTCCAGTGCTAAAGCCTGGCTAGTTTTCGTTGGCTTTGGCTCGCCCCTCCAGCAGCTCCGAAGTGTAAACATAAATCATGCCAGCACAATCTCAACATGTAGCCCTGACGCTGAGTAAGCTTGCTCATTGCCCTGGTCAACAAGAACCCTTCCATGCAGAGACCACAAGCTCTTGGACTCAGGATCCTGCAGGCGCGGAGGCTTTTTCAGCAGATTGATGTGGACCACTCGGGCTTCATTTCGCTGTCAGCCCTCCGAGCGGCAGTCCAGGTAGTTCAACTGAGTGAAATTGTGCGTGCGCAAGTTGAGTTTGGCGAGTTTGAAAGCAATGCACCGCTCAAACTACAAGTGCTCCATCTCCATGCCGGCCTGCAAGCCTGTGCGATCTGCAGGGAAGCGACAAATTCTGAAATTGTCAGAAATTTGCTGAACAGTGAGAGTTCATCTCAGGAGATTCAGAACCAGACAGCCACTGAAGCTGTCTTGGATTTCTTTGAATCCCGGCTGCATTCCATGGTACTGTGCACTGGTGCAGGATCGCAAGCTACGGTGATGTCCCAGTCCTTGCGAGTGCTGGCTGTGAGGAGTCGGTTGACGTCGACCCGTCCGAAGCACAGTACCTCCTTGAGGCATTTGCCTCTTATGATTTACGTGTTGTACACGGATCCTCAGATGCTTTGTCGCTCCGATTTATTTGCAACTTGCAAGCGCAAAGCAACAGAAGATCGTTGCCTCAGCGCATTGAATCCCCGATCTCCTTCAAAATCTGTAGTCCATGCATGGATCTTGGAATTTGTTCCTGCAGAATGGGCTTCTGGCAGGTCTTGGACATGGACGGGTCGGGCACTATTAACTTCGAGGAGTTTTTGCGAGGGACCTTGAGGCAACCAAGCGGGTATGGGTTCACGTTGCAAGCTCTTGTGAGGCTCAGCTGATATTAATCAGGTGTATCTAGTAGCATTTTCCAGCTGAAATCGAGGAGCCTGTACCAGGATGGATGTGCCCCCTGATTCATGCTCTGTATCGAGATCCAACACACGGAGCATTGGGATCTTGCAGCCCAAGGCCCTACAGACAGGCATAACGATTGCAAATGCAGCACCTGACTCGTCCGTGAACCGCTTTCAGGCTGAATGGCTCTGCGCGCGCGGCGGATTTGCTCCTGGTTGCGAGAGAGATGAAAAGGTCTGGACGCAGTGCACACATGTGAAATCTACGACCTGGTATCGCTTCAGTTTCTCACGATCCCTATGGGCAGAGGATAGCTGAAAATTGGCAGGCTGGTTCAAAAGGCATCGCGAGTTCAGAGGCGTTCAGCTCTCATCAGGCTTTCCTAGTATACCGGCAGTTTTTGGGTATCCACTCAATGATCGACGAAGGTGCACAGAGTGACTCTAGACAAGCTCTCAGTTTGTGATGCCTCAGTTGGGTGGCCCAAATGCTTGATATGCTAAAATTGTTTGTGCTTTCATGAAGCAGCTCTGAAAAACCCAGCTTAAGCAGAGCCGCTGACGCTACCTTTCGGTGTTAAGCACAAGAATACAGTACGATACTTTCCGTGCCGAACAGTGATGTTGCAAAGCTGGGAATTCCTGCTCACGTAGGTAAAGCCTTTGAGACCACTTTATGCTGTCGGGGTCCTTCTCCAAATTGCAGAATGTGGCTGGGGAGAGCACAGCTTGGCTCCTGGTACTGTAGTTTCCCCAGACTGCAGCATGCAGAGCCTGTGGCCTTGGGCAGTAAGCAAAGTTGGGGTCGACACTTATCGTGTCTGCGACTTGCTTGTGTCAACAGTTTGTAAATTTGTTGCAGAAGCACACAATATGTTGAGTTCCGTGTCCCGATGAGCAGGTTCTTCGTGCACACAACCTCCGAAATTGAGGTCATCAAGATTCTTGGCACATCCTGGCATGTGGGCGTCGGAGGAAAACTACCTTAACAATCGGCGCAGCAGCTTGTGGTTGGACATTGGACTCATAGCCCAGATAAGCCTGTTGCCGCAACCCTGGCACCCCGACTGGAAACTCCACCCTAAGGTCTCAGCTTCACGGATCCCGTCTTCAACATGCAAAGCGCAGCTTGTGAGGGCTTTGCTATGGAATTGCGGCTTTCTGGCCCCAAGAATTTCATTGCCTCAAAACAGATACCCAACTTGAGATCAAGAAAGCGACTCCATTTGATTGGAGCTCAAGTCTGCCTAATGGCACACGCACTAGGATTTCCCCGACGAAGTCGGTCTGGAGTGCATTGAATGTTGGAGCGTCATCTGCTGCGCAACTGCAAAACTTCGGCAAGTAGCGGCAACAGTCTCAAGAAGCTGAAGTCTGCAAGTTCATCAACACAAGGAGTAGGTAGTTCGGCAGAAGGCATTTCATGCCGGTGCGCGAAGTGTCCCCAATCAATGTTTGGACTGTCAGAAGCCCCAACATTGAGTCAAGCCCTGCAGCTGGACCGTACCAGCACAGCATTCTCCACTATTAGTAACCCCCCCTTCATGCTTGGCCATACTTGGCCAACATCCTGGCTTTCGGAAACTTGCCAGCGGAGGACTTCTAAATCAGACCAAGAGGAATGTGGCTAACGAAGGGAGTCCCAGGATGCCTCGTAATTCAGATTCCCTTGATCCCCCCAAAACATCCGTATTCCAGCTGTCTGAGCTGGTGAACCAGCAAAAGGAGCATGCGGAATCCGACCAACCATGGGTTCTGGCATGACTTCTGCCGACGAAGCCTCGCAGCTCCTCTCCTTGACTCGTGCATGAACGTTCTTTGGGCTTCAAGTGCTTGCAGCGTTTGCATTGCTGCGTGAAAAAGCGCGGCGGTTGCGAGCTGTCAGCTTTGCAAATGGCCACCGCAGCTAGGCTGCATTGTAGACTGTGCACCCCGTGCTGTGGAGGTGGCAAGGTCATCCAAGGTCAGGAAGTGCTCCCGTCAGGTCACGCTGGAAGACTTAGAGAAGCGCCTGGCCGCTGTTGAGAAATCTCTGGAGGCAGATGGCGAAGGCTGCGCGGGATGCTGGAGCCTTGCATGGGGAGAGGATTAGATTGCAAATCTGGTTGTCTTGGCTTTCAGGTGGTGTTCTTCCTTCGCGCAAGACAGGTGGTGATGCTCAAATCATGAAGAGCCTTTGCTGCAACGAAGTCCAGCTGTGCTTTGGATTCTTCGGAATGTTCTTGACCGCACTTCTAACACCACATCGGCCTGCCAAGGAAGGTGGCAACAAGATTGCAGGACTTCGAGTCACAGATCACAGCTCAGTTGGCAAACCTCCAGACGGCTACTTGGCTGTGCAGCCTTTTGCCGGTGGTCTGCACTTTACATGAGAAGGTCTGCTCCGCGTGCTTCGTTCTAGGACTTTGACAAGAAACTGTCGCACGTCAATCGCGGCGCTGCGGCTACGAAACCGGTTGACGGTGCCGGCGGAGCAGCTGGCCTGGACACCATGGCTGAGGAAACCTGAGCCATCTTAGCATGTCGTAGCATGTCAAGGCTTGCCCATGCTTGCCCTTGTCGCTAGGAT